TTTGTCGGTTGCCATAGCATTGTCTGCGCCGCCACGGCTTCCGCCACCTCGCTAGGGACATCAGAATGGTTGCGCCTGCCGACTATGCCAACGTCGACACGATTCCTATTGCCACACACTACCTCCCGGAGCTAGATCCCCTGCATTGGCACTGTGCACGAGCGCAAGGCTTCCCGCGTGGGTCGTCTCGGATGACCCAATGCTGGAGGAGCTTGCCACCTTGCTCATCGTGAGCCAGCCCGTGGGAGTGCCTAGGTGCCCGCCTACTCTGGCGGCCGCCTCTTAGGAGGTTGAAGCATCATTGGTGGCCACCTCTGTGTGCTACCGCGCTCTCCAGGACAAGCAGCAAGTGTTGCCCCACCGCACCGATTCTGTAAGCTTTGGCGTATGCTTTGCGGCTTCTATGGCGATGGCTACTCAGTGGACGACGAACTCGCCTCTGTTGTCGCTTGTGCAAGGGCTGCCACATGCCACGCCACCATGGGTGGAGGAGCCCAGCTTCACGGATGTTGAGGCGCCTAGGGAGGATGGAGAAGACTGCCCACCTGGGTTCAGGTCGGCCAAGCACCAGGTGGATGCTGGACCCGCGATATCTACGCCCACGCGGGATGGCCATCCAACTGACGACGACAGTGACTCCGCCGCCGCACGCCGCCTTCGAAGATTCACCAACCGAATACTCCAGAAGCTTGCCTCTCCACTCTTGCCTCGACTTCCTACGCAGCCGACAGCCGCTACGCTAGTACTCCCGCTTCGCGGCAAGCGCTTGGCGGCTTAGGGCCTCTCTTGGGTGCCTGCTTCCAGGTGAGGTGATGTGAGGTCCTCATAATGCTGTGCATGGGCCTCACCATAGGATTTTTCACGCCAAGCGCGTCGAGAAAGAAGACATACCAGAACCTCTTCGAGGCGAACGGAAGACATGGATGCGCAAGAAGCAGCGTCGATAGAAGGTTGTTTCTTCAGTCGAAGCACTGCCTGTCTCTTGGTTGTTTAGCTTCTGAGTAACACAGTAACTTGTATCAGTATACTAGGACAGTCCGGCCTTACGCTGCTCCTTTTAGACCTCCTAGGGCGCTCACTTGAAGCGCGACGTTTGTATATTTAAACTCTTCTATCTTAATTGAAAAAATACGCAAATATTTTGCATATTCGAGAAAAAGATATTGTATTTTTGAGGTACTCCAAATCTTTATGGATCCTAATGTATGGGCATATCCTGCAAACTCGTTACTCTACTCGATCGTTCACTACCATTATTCTTGGCTTCATGGAGAGAAACAAGATACTATGAAACCAAAAGGACTTTTTAGTCCTACTAGTTAGGGATGTAAGGCGGGTTGTCTGTGAATCCACAAATAGGTTTAACTTTTGCAAATTTACACCCACCTTGCATCCCCTGCTACTAGTGCTATTGTTTTATCACTTAACGTGCATATATAACACATCAGACTCATTTGCTTCTACAGTGAAATGAAGAAAGGGTAAACATTATGTAAAAAAGTAGAACATGAACCAACATATATAAACTCATAGAAGTGGCCATGTAGGATCGGATGCCACCTGAAGAAAGAGTGGTGACATGCAGAGTGGCAGTAGTTTTTCTGCAGGGCTGCTGTAGTTCTAGAAGACAGAGTGTGGTCAAAGAGCCAAAACGGAGAAATGAAAACGAAGGGAGTGAAGAGAAAGTGGCGTGATAGGACCGGTCACGAAAAGAGCTGGTGCTGACTGGAGAGGAGCTCTCTTATTCTCAAACCACTCGTACCTATGTGTACTGCAAACTAAAACCTAGAGCCAACAAGAAGTACCGCCTTGGTTGCTCGTGTCCATAACATCTCCCATAATCTTGTGGAATCTCCCGATGCCTCGCAATCACAGGCCTACGCGTATCACATCTCTATCTCCCATTGTGTAAGTGTAACCGTGCAGGTGGGTCGGAGCATACAACTTCTAAGGAGCAGGGAGCTGCAAGCTTTGTAGTACTGCTCTTATAGATAACCTTGCTCGACGCCAGAGGCACATGATCGGCCGCTACGGCTCATTTAGTTTTCGTATCAGATTTTTTTTATTCGGTTATGAATGCTGATTACTGACTAACACATGTATATAGCGGGCGCTACTACTGCATGCATTACTAATTCAGATATACTGATTAACAGTCATGAAATTTGTTAAGGAAAGCCAAGGAACGATTGCTTGTTTGTAGGACGACTGTTAGTGGAACACAATGCTGGCTCAGAAGAAAAATATAGTATAACATCAACTCTGAATGAAGCACATAACATTCGGAAAGGTATTCAGGCGATAGTGCACATTTTTTCGTTATTAATTCACGCATTATTTGCAAACTGATGCTTGCCTGCTTCACAAAATAAGCTTACTTTATCAATCTCCATCAGTAAGCATTCCATCATATATATCACGGGTTCCAGATCAGACAACAGTATAAGCAGCAGGGCCAACCTCATCGCCAAAAACATGTCGCTACTACACTTTAGGCCTTCTTTGGATGCACGTGTATCCACTTCGATCCACATGTGTTGGAGTGGAATGGAATGGAACTTAGTTCAATTTCACCCCAATCCACTTCAACACATATGGATTGAGATGAATACATACGCATGCAAACAAGACCTTAGTATGCACAGCTAATGAACTGTGGCTGTGAATTTTCAGTTTCCTTTGTGTTCAAATTTACATGAGGGGACTAGTGTTGGACCCCAAATTATCCATTCTTTCCTACACAAGATATCAGAGGAGCAATACATCATGTTCCTGTGAAGATCGTACATAAGGCTCTTCTGCAGATTACATATGCCCAGAGAGCTAATATTGGCATAGAAGCAGATCCAAGCACCACGCTATGTAACATGTCTTCTTCAGTTTTAGCTATGCTGACATCATCTTGTTATGAATTACTCTGCACCTCTAGTTATGGATTATGAATGAACATCAAAATAGGATTGCCTTACAATGGGGCATGCCTGCTAAATGAAGCCCAGGTGGTGGCTTTGTTAGATACATTATGCATTATCAACTGAAGGTGTTGTATTTTTCAGGTACTCTAAATCTTTATGGATCATAATATGTATGGGCATATCCTGCAAACTCGTTACTCTACTCGATCGTTCACTAACATTATTCTTCGCTTCATGGCGAGAAACAAGATACCACGAAAACCAAAAGGACTTTTAAGTCCTATGAGTTAGGGATGTAAGGCGGGTTATCCGCGAACCCACAAATATGCTCAACTTTTGCGAATCTGCACCCACCTTGCATCCCTACTACTGGTTCTTATCACTTAACCTGTACGTGTGCATAACACATCAGACTCAGTTTCTTCTACAGTGAGATGAAGAAAAGGTAAACATTGTGTAAGAAAGTTGAACATATATAGACTGATAGAAGTGAATGGGAAAAAGGGCAGACTCGCCCACACAGGATTTCAATTCATGGTACAAAAAGTTGAGCCTTCAGATTTTTATTGCTAAAATAAATTCAATTGTTGGTACAAAAATCTCTCTCTGGTTGATTGTTGTAGGAGTCGGAAAACCTTCCACCTGGAATCATTTGAAACCTCTATAAAGTTATGTGGAGATTTTAGGGGACACATGGGGGCTTAAACAGTCATTTGTCAACTATAAAATATTCTCCACCAAACAATGATGTGGAGAGACCATAATTGTGTAATCGATGACAAGCTTATTAATCCAAGGCACACAAATCATCCACTTTATAAATCAAAATAAGAGGGAATAATCCATTGTGATGTCTATGTGCAAATTATCATATCAGACATAAGCATACAGGATTAGCTAATAAACACAATGTGCTCTCCACATAAAAGTATGACAATTGAAGTTTAGAGTTTGGAGCACTGCTTGGGGGCAGTAGTGATTCAGCTGGTGGCCATGTAGGATCGGATGCCACCTGAAGAAATAATGGTGACTTAGAGAGTGGCAGTAATTTTTCTGCAAAGCTGCTATAGCTCTAGAAGACAGAGTGTGGTCAAAGAGCAAAAACAGAGAAATGAAAACCAAGGGAATGAAGAGAAAGAGACGTGATAAGACCGGTCAGGAAAAGAACTGGTGTTGTCTGGACCGGTAAGTCTCTCAGACGACTCGTGCCTACGTGTACTACAAATTAAAACCTAGAGCCACTCGACAAGAAATAGTGCTTGTGTAGCTCGTGCCCTTTGTAATCTCCTGATGCCTCGCAATCGCAAGCCTACGCGTATCATCTCTACCTCCCATTGTGTAAGTGTAACCGTGCAACTAGGTCAGAGCATGCTCCGAGGAGCTAACCCTTGTGACTCTTAGAAGGGAGCTGCAAGCTTTGTAGCATTGCTCTTATAGAAGACTATTAACCTTGCTCTGCGGTCTGCACCAGAGGCACATGATCGGGCACTACGGCTCATTTAATTTTCGTATCTGATTTTTTATTCGGTTATGAGTGCTGATTAATGAGTAGCACATGTATATAGCGGGCGCTTACTACTGCATGCATTACTAATTCAGATACTGATTAACCGTCATGAAATTTGTTAAGGAAAGTCAAGTAACGATTGCTTGTTTGTAGAACGACAATTAGTGGAACGCAATGCTGACAAGAAAAAAATAGTATAAACACCAAATCTGAAAGAAGCCAACATTCGGAAAGATATGATAGTGCACACCTTTTGTTATTCATTCAATCCAGAAGCTTAGCTTCTCAGTCTCCATCGATAAGCATTCCATCATGTCATGGGTTCCAGATCAGGCAACAGTATCAGCAGCAGGGCCAGCCTCGTCGCCAAAAACATGTCCCTACTACACTTGTCAGTATGCACAGCCCACAAACTGTGGTTGTGAATTTTCAGTTTCCTTTGTGTTCAAATTTACATTAGGGTACTAGTGTAGTGTTGGCCCCCAAATTATCCATTCCCTCCTACACAGGATACCAGGGGGAGCAACATTACACCATGTTCCTCTCAAGATCGTACATAAGGCTCTTCTGCAAATTACCTATGCCCAGAGAGCTAATACTGACATAGAAGCCGATCCAAGCACCAACGCAATGTAACATGCCTTTTTCAGTTTCAGAGATGCTGACATCATCTTGTTATGGAAAAAATCAAGAGAAATTAGATCGACTAGCGCCATATAAATGAGAATTCCAGCCGAAAGTGAACCAAGGATCCCTTCCATTATTAAGGCATTTGGATTGCTATCGTCGTAACCAGTCATATGGAACACTAGCATTCCAAGAAGAATTCCCAATGGTGTCGTCACTGAGAACATTATGCACATGTAGCCAACTGTTGCCATCCCAAAACCAGCCTGAGAGAAACAGACAAGTGCACACACATCAACGAAAAGTGCAAGTGTCTCTATACGCTAGTACAGATTAGAAACAAGACTGCAGAAGCAAATATTTAGTATGTTTCAGTTAAGAGATGACATAATACTATGCAGACCAAAGGGTAATGCACGCAACTGGAAATTACTGTTCAACTCTAGTTATGAATTATGAATGTCAAAATAAGACTGCTGGCATGCTAAATGGAAGCCTAGGTGATGGCTTTATTTGGTATACATTATGAATTATTAACTGAGGAAAAGGATAGAAATTGGCAAATTGCACTAGCACTGCTGCCAAACTGGACACCTTACTCTTGTACTACTGTCGTATTTTTCAGGTACTCTGGATCTTTATGGGTCCTAGTGCTTGGGCATACCCTGCAAACTCTTTACTCTTTCACTACGTTCTTTGTAAATTGCTCTCCAGCAAGATACCACGAAACCAAAAAGGACTTTTAAGCCTTATAATGCTATTTGCTTTGTCACTTCTCCTGTGTGCATAACACATCAGCCTCATTACCTACTATAGTGGAAGGAGGACAAAGGTAAACATTGTGCAAACATTTGACGAGTCATAAAAGTTGAGCATGAACCAAAAGAACTTGGTGGGGAAAAAGGACAGATTGGCCACATGGGTCTTCATGGTGCAAAAAGTTCAGCCTTCAGGTTTTTACCCCTAAAACAAATGCAATGAGTAGTACAAAAAGGTCACTCTGGTTAATTGTTGTGGACCACGGGGAATCTAAACTCTATAAAGTTATATGGAGGGATCAGGGGACACAAGGGGCTTAAACAAATCATTATCAACTATTAGTATAGAATATAACAATGCCAGATTCCAAATCCAAGGCAGACAAATCAACCACTTTATTAAAAAATCAACATAAGAGATGATTCTTTGTCTTGTCTATGTGCAGATTATCATATCAGGCAAAAGCATATAGGTAGCTAATAACGCAATGTGATCCCCTAAATAACGCAATGTGCTAGAAGGAATCCAATCGGTCAAATGATATTTTATCCAGCTTAGTGTAATATGAGAGAGAACACTGACATCACAGATTCGGTAAAGGTAGAACTTCCTAGTTCCTGATACTACAAAATCTAAATTCGCACCAAAAAGTCGCAAATTAGTTATGAACTTAAATCTCACTCCTACCACTACCATGTTCAAGAATCCCAAACTCTCAAATTAGTTATTGAGGAAACCAGCAACCCCGAGCAGAAAAACAAAAACAATATGAGCAAATTGGTTGGTCATGAGGTCTTCAATTAGGCACACAATTCGAGTAAAAATATGTTTTTGGCTCTCACCTGTGCGATGCATCCGCCAAGGCCCATCCCCTCGAACACCTGATGGAAGGAGAGCGCAACCACAAGCGGCCGGATTGCACAGACATCCTGGGACATCCCCATTGTAACGCCGATGATGACGGAGTGGAAGACTATCCCAATCTCCAACACTTTGGACACCATCTTCTGCTTCCTCCTGGCCTCCTCCTCGTCCTCCCCGGGCCCCTCCCCTACCTCCACTACTTCGTGGGCGACGCCATGGCAGCCGGCAGCGACGACGGGGACCTCGTCGCTGCGCGCGCCCTTCTTGGGCCCGAAGAGCGCCACGTCGTCGCGGTCCGGGTCGGCGCCGTTGGTGGCCGCGTGCGGCGCGGAGTCCTCTTCTCGGTCGTCATCCAAGAAAGCGCGCTTCTTGGGGCTCATCTCGCCGGCGAGCTCGAACACAGGGACCTTCTTGGGGATTGGGGCGTAGGGCGTTTCCTGGTGGCCGTGGCCGTGGGCGTCGGAGTCGGCGCCGACGTGGGCGTGGGCCTCGAGGTGGGAGGAGGCGGAGAGGTCGACGAGGAGCGCGAGCAGCGCGCCGACGAGGGTGAAGAGGCCCGCGAAGGGGAAGTCCCTCCAGGGCCTGCGCGAGGCGACGGCGCAGTTGGCGAGGGCGTCGTGCGCGTCGGGGAGCACGTGGACGAGCGAGGTGGAGAGGATGACCCCCGCAGCGTAGCACTTGACGAGGAGCAGGCCCCGCGCGTAGTTGGGACTGCCGCGGAAGGTGCGCGTGAGCGCGACGGGGAGGCAGATGCCGACGGCGCTGGCGACGAGGATGGCTAGCAGGGACCCCGTCTTGAGCCGCGCGGCCGCCGCGCCGTCGCGGCAGAGGGCCGCGGCGCCGTCGGCGGGGAGGCACCCGGTGCCGGACATGGCGCTTTGCGGCGGCGGCGGCGGCGGCGCGGGGAAGGTGTTCGACGGAATTACCCCCTGCCCCTGCGCGCGCGCGACGGCGACAGACAGGGGGACGATCGTAGCTGGATGGAGTGTTTGGACTGGGAGGAGGAAACGAGGGTGCGACCGTGCGTGACGGTTAATTTCAATGCGTGGACTCGCGTGGTACAGAGGTTTTTGTGGAATTTTGTGGTGTGGGCCCGGGCTGTCTGTGAGGAGGCCACTACGGCCGACACGTGGGGCCAAGTCAATCGGTCCGCTCGCCTTAACCGTGGAAGTAGCGATACCTCGACCCTTAGCAATAGCATGCCGCCTTCGTGCGTTGTTTGGATGCTGATTTTTCTAGCCTCCATCCACAGCTTTCCTTTTCACCCTTGATTCACCGGAGATGTGCATCAACTGCAGCCCTAAAAACCGTTTTCAACATTTGCTTGGCGATGTCCCTGCACCCTAGTGTCGTGCGCCTCTGAATCTAATGCGTAAGCGTAATGACGCCGCTCTCTGTGACTTGCGTGTGATCTCGTTGACATCGTCCTAGCCCTCGCCTCGCCCCTGCCTTCGGCTCCCACCATCCGTGGCTGGTAGCTCCTGCCGCCTCACTGCGCCACCCACCTCCACCGCTAATCAACCGTATCGCGATGCCCCCGCCACCAGCCTTGCCCAACCGCCATCTCCCACCGCCCCGCCCGACCGTCATCTCGCCCACCACCACTGTCGTGTCATGACCATCGCCACCCAAAGAGCCGCCAGTAAGTGGATTCCCTAACCTCGGAACCCTAACCTTTCTTCTTCCTCCCGATGAGCGGCGCGCGGATGGTTCGGGCGAGTGCACGCGCGACCCATCACGTGATAGAGTTTGCGCTTAATAAACACTGGCAGCGCTAAAAATAACAACGTGTATATCTCTTTCTTTTTCTTTCCAATCTACTGCTTCTTTTCGAACTGCTCCAACACAATGTCATCCTCAGTTCCTCACCTTTGTCTCCACCAGTAGGGTTGCCTCTAAAAATTTGAGGTCTCAAGACGAAATATAAAATGTGGCCCTAAACTATTCAACTTCAATCATTCATTACATTTTTTCTCTTGCTGTACTTGAATATATATCTAATACTAATGCTAAAAGAGTAAAGGCACCATTGAAGTAATAAATTAACCTTATGTTTTACTAAAATGTGTGGAGGAGTCGAATAACATCATAGTTAGATAATTGTATGGTGTTAGCCAACTATAACAATTAGGATTTCAGACAACATGAATAAAAAGAAACGGAAATGGGAGAGAATGATATCATCGGCCATTATGACAATGTAAATTAATTACCTCATTACCTGGATCAGAGCGTAAATAAGGCCCTGTTTGTGTAACACCCCAGGTGTTATGAGCTTGTTTAGCACCGAGATTTAGGTCCGAGAGGGATTAGCCAAACAAGTTTTCGAGTTTTAAAAATTTATAAAGCACGTGAAATGATAAGCGAATCCTATGTGACTCACTTTCGTGGTTGAGAAAAATCAAAATAAATAGTGTTAATTAGTGCTCTTGGGAGCTAAAAAAATCAAATTTGACGTTAAGATAAGCTCTTTTTGTTAAATCGGCAAACACTTGAACTATTATTAAAATACTATTTTTGGTGATTTATATTGAGCAAAATAGTTAAATGGTGCTTAAATATTTTGTCCCTATGAGTTAGTATAAGGTATGGACTATTGCATGAAGTATTTGTTGATTGAAGTTAACAAGGTTTAGACCTATTAAAAATTATGACAAAAGAGTTAATGGTTACTTAACCCCAACTGAAATTCTTAACTTTTCTAAGTATGGAAAAGTAGTAAGACAATGCTATTTTGACATTTAATTTCTAACAAAAATATTTAAACACAAGCTACATGTTTTGGTATTGTTGATTACATCAAAGTGAGTACTTGAGCATGGCATAGATGGTTGTTGTGTTGGGTGTCATGTTGCTCTCGTAAAAATTGCCCAAACCTCCTTAGAATATGCTGTGAACCATGATTTGGTGCTCGGTTCGCGAACCGGCGTTCAGCGTGACGAACTCATGTTGGCACCTCCCTATCTCCCTCTCTGGTCGCTCTCTGGACGTGAGGTTTGCTTCGTCAGTTGGGTGTTAGTATCGACTTTAGGTTAGGGGAATTAGTTGAACCTCGATCGTGATCGTTAGCAGCTTTTGTGTCGCTTTCAAATGCGTGCACGTCACCAGTTGCTACCTCTCGGCCCGAGCTCACGGTCACCGCGCGTGTGGGCGCTGCGGGCGCCGGGCTTAGGCCATGGCCGGGCTGCTGCCGCTGGCTAGCTCGAGCGCCCGGGTGATGCCGCGCAGCGCCTACCGCCTGGCGTTGGCCGGTCCTAGATGGCTGCGGCTGGTCCCGCTGCTGCACGTGCGCTGCGCTCGCACGGGTGGCCGCTGGGCGTGCCGTAGTTGTGGCTGCATCATGCGATCAACGAGGTGCTCGCCCCGCCCCTCGTCCTAACTACCCCGCCTAGTCCATAAGCTGGAACCTTGCCGACGTGACGAGTCGAGGGCCGGACGCAGTGGCGATGGACGTTTCCCTTCCTCGTCTTGTCCCGCTGGCCAACACCGGTAAGCCTTGCTCGGGTCTGGCCGCTCCAATTTCAAGCGTGTCACGACAGGCCGCCTGGTCTTGTCAACCTGTGCATGAGCTCGTTCTGCCACCGCCGATCGGAGCCCCGCTTTAACATGCACTACCGCTCGAGCTCATCCGCATACTTTTCCCCACGACATGGCCTCAGCCTGGGCACCGTGCCCCGCCTTTCAAATTCGCTTAGCCCATGGTTTCTCAGCCCATCTCCTCACGTTAGTAAGTAGCAAGGAGGGCTAGCTAGCCGCCTCAACCGCATCTGGCCATGGTAGAGTCCTACGTCGCGACAATTCGGCAATTAGCTCATCGTGGGCCATGTTCGCCGCTGTGACCTTGGACTGGGGAAAGAGGTAGGATTGGGGCAGTAATAGTTCAATTGCTTGTATCCTCGAACTCGCCTTGACTCACGCCCTCTGGTGCTCGCGCTATTTTGGCCAGGGTTCTCGATGATGGTGGTCTGACGCGTCGGTGTCCATCCTAGAGCACTGCCGCTGAAAAGGTCCTAATATGGCTAGAGGGGGGTGAATAGCCTATTTAAAAATCTACAAATCAACTAGAGCAATTTAATTAGTATTACAAATAACGAAAAGCAAACTTGCTCTAGCTCTACAAGAGTTGCAAGCCACCTATCCAATAATTTTAGTTGATATGATCACTAAACACATAATTTACTAAGTCACTACTCACTAAGAGCTCTCACACTTGCTACACTAAAACGCTCCACTAGATGAACTTTAGCTACAAAGCAAGCTCTCAATTCTAGCTACACTAAAGAGCCTACTACAACTAGTTTGCGGGTATATAAATAAGTAAGTAAGGTGATTATACCGCCACGTAAAGGAGTGAACCAATCACAAGATGAATACAAACTCAATCACCAGGAGAATACCAAAGGGCAAGAGACAACCAATTTTCTCCCGAGGTTCACGTGCTTGCCAACACGCTACGTCCCTATTGTGTCGACCAATACTTGGTGGTTCAACGGCTAAGAGGTGTTGCACGAACCTCATCCACACAATTGAACACCGTAAGAACCTACCCACAGGTGAGGTAACTCAATGACATAAGCAATCCACTAAGGTTACCTTTCGGCTCTCCGCTGGGGAAGGCACAAGTCCCCTCACAATCATCGGAGATGGCCACGAACAATCATCAACTCGTGACAATCCTCCTCCGCTGCACCAAGCCGTCTAGATGGTGGCAATCACCAAGAGCAACAATTGAATCCCGCAGGGAAACACAAACACTAAGTGTCGCTAGATGCAATCACTCAAGCAATACGCTTGGATTCTCTTCCAATCTCTCAAAGATGATGAATCAATGATAGAGATGAGTGAAAGGGCTTTGGCTAAGCTCACAAGGTTGCTATATCAATGTAAATGGCCAAGAGAATGAGCTTGAGCCGGCCATGGGTCTTAAATAGAAGCTCCGACAAAATAGAGTCGTTGGTTCCTCGGTCCACTAAAAATCGGGGCGACTGGACGCTCTAGTCATATTGACCGGACGCAGGACCCCAGCGTCCGGTCGCGCGATGCACGCCATGTGGCACCTACTTCAAATACTGCTCGCCCGATCTCAACGGTCATCAGTACACTTAAGTTGTGACTGGACGCACTACAGTGTAGGATCGGACTCAGAACCCCAGCGTTCGGTCACTTCCAGTCAGGTTCCAGCTGCGACCGGACGCGTCGGTTTGATCACGACCGGACACAGGACCCCAGCGTCTGGTCACTTCCAGTAAGCTTCCAGAGGTGGAAACTCGCGACCGGACGCAGCATCAGCTTCCGGTCACTCACCGTCTCCTCTGTGCGCTGCCACGTCAGCAGGACCAGACGCTAAACAGTGTTCAGCCAAAGTCCGGTCGCCTACGTCCGGTCAAGAGACCAAGGGCGGCCTTCACTGCGCGCCACTGATCGGATGCTGGGTCAGAGTCCGGTCACTGCGTGACCAGCGTCCAGTGCACTCTGTGAAACCCTGTGTTTTTTGTACAGGGCGCCGGTGAAGTTTTGAACCCTTGCTCCCAAGTGCTAAACACAATGTGTATCACATTTATGCATGTGTGTTAGCATATTTTCATAAACATTTTCAAGGGTGTTAGCACTACACTAGATCCTAAATGCATATGCAATGAGTTAGAGCATCTAGTGGCACTTTGATAACCGTATTTCGATACGAGTTTCACCCCTCTTAATAGTACGGCTATCAATCCTAAATGTGATCACACTCTTTAAGTGTCTCGATCACTAAACCGAAAAGCTCCTATCAATTTCACCTTTGCCTTGAGCTTTTGTTTTTCTTTCCTCTTTTCTAAGTCCAAGCATTTAATCATCACCATGCCATCATCATCATCATGTCATGATCTTC